CGATACCCGATAAATTCAATAGAAGGACCCTCGGTCGTTTCACACCTAAACGGTAAGGATGGGCCGATGCGGCTTTTTTGAATGGATACGATACCGAGTACGATATTACCTTTTTCTTCGATATCGATACCGATACTGTGACGTCATTGAAATAAATGATCTCATTGACTAAATGACGGCACACTCTCGCTCGGTTTTCTGTTCAGTTCTCTACAGTAGCATCAATAAGATAGTCGAACAAGTAAAAAATTTCAATTTATTGGGACTCATTTTTAATTTTTGCGAGGAAATGAAGAAGAACTGCAATGGTACAATCTTTCTACCTACAATATCAAGCAAAATGTAACTTTCACTGGCATTCATGGTCATGAGACCTACAATGAAAGGTTACCATTCACTGCACGAGTCACTAATAATAACCAATCACGAATGCCTAACTTATTATGGATCTTGCACTTCAATACTCGACACATCAGAGACCATGCAGAGGTGCCATACCTTGGAACTATTCAACCTTTCCGCTCAGCGCTTTACCCGCTCGAGGTTTTTCTTTGGTAAACGGGCATAGTAGTTTGCATCTCATTTTTGTCGCTCCAGCATCCCCTTGTAATGCCTGGATTGTTGTGAGTCGTGATTTTGTGCCTTTGTATAGAGCATGTAGAGTGACTTTACATTTACAGTTAATAAAATCGGGTCCTATATCACAGTGAAATGTTGTACTAGGGAATGGAAGAAACCGCCACTTTGATCGGTTCACTGCGGCAATCCTACACTGCACACAGCAGCGCACATGCACGATCTCGAGCCAGGAGTCTTTTCGGCTACTTGTCAGCGGAGATTAAAGCGCAGGTAGGTCACGTGCAGTATCGAAAGAATCGATACTCTTCGCTAATATCGTTATTTTTCGATCCGACCTCGGTATCGCTGGTATCGAATATCTGGTATCGGTATCGGCCCGTCCTTACTTACCGGCTCCTGATACTCTCTAAATGAGAAAATAGCCTAATTTTTATTTCTATTGTAAACTGCATTTATTAAGCTTTCTTTTGATGTATAATTTGTTAGGATTTTCTTGAAACTAGCGCTCGTACGAATTTTTTCCCGAAGGACAGCCGCGAAGGTGGGAAGTAGGCTTTCCAGATGAGTTTTTTTTTTTTTTTTTACTGCTAATTCCTTCCTTCGCACCAACACTCCCCTAATATTATTGAATTATCTAAATTATCTTATTTTCATTTAAAAAAAAAGCGTCAATTAAGAGGAAAGAGTCAACTGGTCTAAATCCGTATTTCCCGACGCCACGAGGGCTTAATAAATTATTGGAAGCCAGAACTTCTTATGTGATTATTGGTCTATTGGGTGCTGAGGTTTCGCACTGGTGTGCTGCACTCTTATCGTGTTGCTGTGGGGTTATTTTATCCATAACATGAGCTGGGGGGGGAGGTGTTTATGTGTGTGTACACCTGCCGGTTTTTCTTCCTTCTGCGTTTATTTTTTTGCCCAAAATAAGGGGGGCGCAGAGCCCCCCTGGATCCACCGCTGTTGTTATATGGTGGTTTTGCTAATTTGTGATGAGGTTTTGCCATTATGCCGTGTAATCATGTACTTGCCTGACGAAGTTTTAAGAATACTTCGATACTTTTTGTGGTTTTGTCATTAAGCAATGTGGTGACATTGTTGTGTGGTCCGATGTTTTGGTGATACGGTTTTATCGTGACGTGATGAAGTTTCTTCATTATGCGATATGGTTTCGTCATTATATATTCGGTGACTATTTCGTGACTTCATTTGTATCATTTCCATTGCAAAGCCTCGGAGCCCAGGCTTTAGTAGACCTTTGGAACCGGTTGAACAAGTTTTAAGATGGGTCCCTGGCTACTTGTATCATATGCTGTGTCGGTATGATAGTTTGGGCTTGCAAATACTGCACCAGCCAATACTAACCTCTGTTATTCCTTCTGGACCTGAAGCTTCTGTTATTAGCACGGTTAATAGACAGTCTTCCCTTAATTTCCTGCCAAATCCCACCGATGATGAAAGATTCAGCATCGAGGTAAGGGAAATGTTCAAGATAGGAACCTGAAAGTTTTCCCTTTAAAGCTGGTGCGACAAGCTGCCAGATGTCGGGGGCAGGTCTTCGCCACTTTTGCTGTTCTCAAAGAATAGAAAATTAACTTACGTCATCAGAATAAGATTTGACCATTTTCAATACTTATTTAACTGGTACCATTCAACATCTTGCAAACATGTTGCCAGAGTGTCCATGTATACACGCGTGTAACAAGGTGTGCGCGTGCGTTGTACAAAGTTGCAATATGTTTCAATAAAATGCTGCTTGCGTTGAGCGGGGCCTTAACTTTAACATATGTTTATACAAAGAAAAAAAATTCGAGATCGATCGATCCTGTAACGTGATCTGACATACGAATTTCAAGGACACTTAAATATCTTAAAGGTAGTAGAGTGGCCTTTTTGTTACTTCAATTAAAATCAGCGAAGCTTTAAATTGATTGTTTTGCAAGTCTAGCTTGTAGCAATTGAGAAAGTCGATGATTTTAGAAGCTTTGAGGCTAAAACTTTCTTTAAAATTCAAATTGTACAAGTCTCCAACTTTAGAGCGGGCGTGCATCGAAATATTTTTGAGTAGAATCCTTTTTAAAAAGTGATAACAGGCGCCGTTGAACTAAACGAGGAGGATAAAAGGCTTTTGAGATCGGCGGATTTGGCCTTAAAAATGTAAAGGTAACGGACGTGCAAAATCGAACAAGAAGTAAATTCGATGGCCTGTAACGCAAGCGGCAGCCATTGCTAATCGCAGATAATTTCGATTTGACAACTGAATTTATAATGCAAATTGGCCACCACCACAGAGTATCTAGACCTGACTTTTCGAGTCATAGCCCTTCATCAGAGCGAATAGAGGAATTGCAGGGTGTATGTGATTTAAATGGCAGAAAACGGAGCCATGCTATGGGTAAGGACGTAGTGGGTTCAGGAGATGCCAATTTGCAGGAAAATGATTTCGTTTTAGCCAGGTACTTAATCCTTTCTCTTTGGAAGTCACCGAAGCACATACACACTAGATCGTACTTTAGTTTACGGTCGGCCTTGGGATATATTGACGTTTTATCGACTTAAATGTTTCTGTTTACGCCGGCATGTAAAGAAAGTAAAAAACCTTAAACTTCGTTGCCAGCATCTGTCCTGTACCCTGGACGAGAGATCTTGTTTTTCAAATTAAGAAAACCTTTTCCGAATAACAGACCTTAGAGGTTGGCTCAAAAATTTCCAACGAAGACAGAAAACGTTAAGTAATATCTTAATTTTGAAGAAAAATAGCGAAACACTTTTTTTTACACTCATATGGAGTTGATGTATATCACAGAAGTTAAGAAATACGCCAATACGGATTTTTGAACGAAATTAATTTATGTCGACAGATCGGGTTAATGAGAGGATTCGCAGATTTGCACACGCAATCCCCTTCTAAACAAATAGACACCCACCCAAAAGCAAATATTTTACGCTTAATTTGGAGATGAGAAGTTAAAAAAAGGCAGGTTTCTCGAAGGACGTGGACGTAATGCTGTGACACCCACGCTAACCAGTAATGATATTTCCCTGAAAATAGTTACGATTGAAAAACAAAGTCTCCGGTCATGACTCTCTCCATTTGTGTTGCCATGACTGTGGGAGGTTGTGTTAAGTTGATGGAAACAGAGTTACCATTACCACATTGTTTTGTGCGGTTCAATTTTTCCCGTTTGCGTCATGCCTGCGGGAAAAGAAGACAAAACTTGCAAAACAACTTAACGAACTTATTTTAATTTATTGTGTCTAGCATCTTACTCTCTTTTGTCTTCGCCAGTTCCGAGTTCCGTAAATAGGAAACTCTAAATGCGCCACCAGTAGTTAATTCTATCAATTACGTTAAACTAAAGAACAGAGTATCATTAACGACACGCAAGGGAAATAAATGCCAGTCTTGAAGATACTCTTGCTCGTTTGATTTCAGCTTAGTTGAGTTAGATCTTTCTACGTTTTGTTAATTTGAAATAATTATCCTGCGCATGAAATTGCAAACGAAATACAGCTTCTGAAACGATCATCAGCAGTTCTTTTCACATATGGATACAACAACTATGATGCTCGATGATTTTTTTCAAGGCGGTAATAGATGTCAGTTCTTTTTCGAAAGGAAAGTCTTGCTTGGGTGGACTTGAGTGATTTACTGCTGCCCAAGGGACACGACGATGATGTGAAAATGTTCCAGAAAAAAACGTCTTAATCTAAAAAGTATCCCTTCCTCATTGAGTGATATCCCAACAGCGCGTATTCATGAATTTAAGTCAGTAAAAACAGTTTGAAATCTCGTGAAATTTCCTTTATCAGCGTGGTACCTGTTAATTAGTGGAGCGATTTAACAGGTACTTGAGCCAAATACGTGGGCATATAAGCTCGCTGGCAGATTTGCGCTTCATTTTCACTGAAGGAAGATAGTTGCTAGGATTGGTCCGTGAAAGAAAGTTCGCTTGCTTCTGCCAAGTCCTCAAGATTCGACGTTTTCAAATCCACATCTGGCCATAGTCACGGATTTAACGCGTAAAGTGAAAACAGACAATATATCGGAAGTCTTTGGGCTAAATTCTTAGCCCCCCAAGCGTGCACTTTAACCAGCTTAGCTACAAACGGAGTTCATCCATAACTAACACGCGGCCGGAGTTATAGCAAAAGAGGATGAATTCTGTCGGGAACGAAACTACCGAGATTGAGCTGCTATACTTCAAGGAGCCTCACTGGCTGGAAATCCTTCGTTTGACCTTCGAGTTCTTCATCGCGGCTCTCGGCATAGCAGGAAATACCATAGTGTGCTTAGTCATAACGTTCCAACCCCAGATGCAGACCGTTATCAACTTCTACATCAGAAACCTCGCCATTGCAGATCTGGTAATACTTCTTTTTTCCTTTCCGCTCACGATAATTAAGGAACAAGATCCCCACCACTGGCCCCTGGGTGAATTCTTCTGTCGTTTCCTGTATCCTCTCAACGACGTATTTTTTGGAGTTTCAGTGTGGTCCATAACCTTGGTTGCCATAGATCGCTATCGAGCTATTGTTGGAGGCCGTGTTCCCAAGCGAAATTCGTACAATTTCAGTTCAGCAAGATGGATGATTCTTGGCGTGTGGATAATATCCTTTTTGATCATCTCCTTGCCTTTGTATTTCGTGATGAGGTTCATTGACGATAACTCTTACATTGATTGTACTCCAGACTGGCCGAACGCCAAGCGAGGAAATCTGGGAGAGATGCGACAAATATACAACGTCGCGATCATCGTATTTTGGTATGTTCTGCCACTTGCCATCATCGCTGGAACATTCCGCAGCATTTCAGTAAAACTCCGAGCTAGCACTAACTTTAACAGGTCCATCCAAGAAGAGTGTAACGAAGCAAGTAAACCCCACAGCGCTCGCAAAAGACTTCGTGAGCAACAGAACAGTAAAGCTAAAAAGCTTTTAATACCCGTTGTAATAGTTTTTGCTGTTACCATGCTTCCTGTTAATGTTTTCCGACTTGTAGTTATGTATTGGGAAGGATTTTCTGAGCACAAATACTTGTGGGTTTTTTACAATGTTTGCGTAATCTTCGTCATTGCAAACTCGTCGGCAAATTTTTTCATTTATTCGCTTGTTAGCGACGAGTTTCGCCATAGTTTTAAGCGCCTCTTCTGTCGTGATTCCAACTTTATTTCCCGTAGTACAACAGACAGAACTGTTCGAAGTCCACTTCACAGTCCTTAAACCTAAGTCCTACAAATTTAAGCCCAACCAACACTGATAGACCTGAATGAATGAGACGAAGGAAACTCCAGATACTGAACTACAAGAGAGACTGTCACGCGAAGTTTTGGCGACGACCGAGCGTTTCCTGCTGAGAAAGCAGGGGGAGCAAAAGATCTTAAGATATCGGTTTAAGACATTGAATATAGAGAAGATTTCGCTGGGAGATGCGACGAGCTTCAGAACCCTTTAAAATCTGTTTTTAATTTGTTTCAAGGCAATGATTTATTTGTTAAGGTGATATTTTAGACATTTGGAGACGGGTGTAATGCTACACGTGAATGGCGGTATCATAATTGTTTTAATGACATTTTTTCCAGCTTGAATTTCATGAAGAAAATGTGTAAACACTGTTGTAACTATGCATAAGACAGCCAACAGCGAAAACGAACGAGGAACGATTTTATTTAAGACTGTTATTTCCTCTGAATAAACATTAAGTTAAAAACGTGTGAAACAAACGAACTTTTACATCAACAACTGAATCAAATTAAATATTACTGTGTAGGTTTTGGAGTTAAACAGGCCATAACCGTCGCATCTTTTTCATTAGCGTTAAATGAAATTATAGGCTCGGTTTATGACACAGGTTCCAAAAGATCCTGTGAAATACGTGAAGACGAGGAACTACTCAATTTCGTGCTGAATATTTTCAAGTTGTTAACGAGCTAGCTAAAAGAATGCTACCACCCTGAAAAGATTAAGTTAAACCTGTCGGAAATTTTTCATTTTCTGTAAGAACAGGTCTTTTTTTCCTTTAACGTAGCCCTGTTTCTTTTCATCATGATGAATGCACAATTAACAAAGAATAAAAAAGAGTGGCGGATAATTTATATGAGATGTCAAGACAAGCTCATTTAACTGTACGGTTCAGAGTCTTAAACTTTTTTACGAGAAACGAGACCGAAACTTTAGTGGTTTCTGAGGATACGGCCAATTCAATTGCATTTGTGATATCCTTTTCCCTCATAGTCGAATCATTATTAACTAATATTCTGGTTTTCTTTTTTATCTCTTCAATGTTTGGCCTTGCAGGTTCGCTTTTATTTGTACTAAGATTAGAAGCTTTTTGTCTGCTAACCTTGCGAGAAATACACAGGGTTTACCGAACAACTTCGTCAAAAATCAAGAAAAAAATCTAAACAATACGGGATGAAAAGAAATGATCAAAGAAACGGGATTGACGCTAGAAATTATGAAATATGTCACTTCTCTGACCGATTACTGACCATCCCTTAAATTCGAACTAGGAGTTTTAAAATTTACAACGGTTTGACATCATCATGGCTGTGACTGTTGCTATGCTGGCCTATAAGCTTATTTGTTCGAATTCTTCACCTTTTCTTTTGCTGTTTTTTCTTTTTTTCATCTTTTCAGTTCTCAACAAGATTTGGAACGAACATGATCCTATGAAAACTTTTTTCAGCGCGAATATTTTTAATTCATTTCACAAATAGCTATAGATTACGAATGAATCAAGATTGGTACAAGCTACGAGCAGACTTGATTTTTTTTATTGTCTTCTGTCAATTTTTTTTTTTCGCAAAATAAAACGCTCTTTTACCAGAGCTTATGCCTTTTCGTATGTTTGTCTTTTGCTCAATCGATTTTCTGCCTTGGTCGACAGGTAGCGTGTCAACCCCGAGAGAAATGCCAATCAGATTTACAGCTTGGACACATTGAAGCGTGTAAGCATTGTGGTACGACCAACTCGATAAAAATAGGAGTAAAAATATCACCAGTAATACAAACAATGGGAAATTTACTTTCTAGAAAGAGGTAATTACTTGAATTCTTTTTTCGGGGTTCCCAGCAGTAAAACTTTCACTTACAAATTAATTTGGGCACGACCGAGGTCCATATCAAAGACAAACTTTTCTGGTTTTCCAACAGATTGTTGAATGAGGAGTGCGTCTTCAAGGCTTGCTTTCCCGTGTGAAATTGAATTTTCCGTGTGCTCGAAATGTTATTTACTCCGCGAAATGCAAAGTTTCTGGCCGTAGGTTGAAATACTTGCGAATTGTTACCACGGTAAGGGTGTAAAACAATCAAAGGGACACGTGGAGCCTGTAGTGTTAATTAGCCAATTAAGATACTTTGGAAAATACGATGGCTCTTCCGAATACGAAACGATACTGTAAATCTCTATTTGATTCGTCATAAATTTGTCTTACAAAAGAAAGCTAACATTTATCGCGTAAATTGATAAAGAACTAGCTAATATTTGCCCGACAACGCCAAATGGTTTTTTTTATTATTATTATTATTTTATCAAGTGTCTTAATAAGGTTAACCGTTAGCCGTAAAACCGCAAAACATTTAGCCGTCAGGCGTAAAAATTGAAACCATTTTAACCGTTGGTCGTAAAATAGGTTAACCGTGAATTTATTTATTTCAACCGCAACGGAAAGAATATAAACGTTAGCCGTAAAATAGCCAAAATCTTAACCATAAGTTAAAGCAAGAGATTATAAACTGTTTATATTCTATTTATATTATATACACATCACCCATGTTGAGACCCTCTTCATTAAGATGATTATCGAGAAATAGTCCTTGCACAGTACTGTATTATCATTTCAGATAAACAAGTGCTCTCTCTGGTGTGAGTCCACTACACCTTTTGTCGACAGCTTTTCGGCTGTATCGATGTTTAGTTCCACTCACTATTAAGGATACAACTGGTTATGAAAGGACTAACTTTTCTCTGCGAACAACTGCATTTTCGAAGCTCAATTTATTTAGGAAGCTTATTTTATTTGCGAAGCTGACATTTCTGTTGTACAGGTTAATTTGTTCAATTTTTAGCGTGAAAGTTGGTCCCAAGCGGTTTTTATGAGGTCATGTTACCTTTAGAGCTTTTCATGAACCTAGAACTCTATTCTAATGTGTTTTTTTGGTGACCAAGAAAACTCATCAATTGCTTGCGTAATGGGTTAATTAGCCGGTAAAACGCACTTTTAAATTTCCTGCTGTGTTACTTATTAAATACAAAAATCATACTGCGTCTTGACGTTTCCCCTCGTCATTTTTTGAAACCCGCAAAATTTACATTTATTCCTTACACGAGGTTGACATGTTGCAACTTTTGGACCAGTTATCTCATTACAAAATCGTTCTGCGTCGTAAGAGAAATAAGCCATGAAAGACAAAAACTATAATGAGGGGGGAATTTTTAGCGTTTTCGTCGAAAAAAAAGGGACGTACCACATAAAATTTGTCGGAGGCAAGGAAAAAAAGAAAAAAGAAACTTACATCTCATTCACACAAATGATTAAACGTGCTTTAAAGTTGTTTTGTTAAAGAAGGTTTAAATTTGTCAAATTTGGCACGTTGAAAATACCTGGGAATGACTACTTGAACTCTATAGTAAATTCCATTTTTCAGTTCTGTTTCTGATTTTCATTCGGTTAAAACAGAAGGTTTAACTAAACACGTTTTGTTAGTGTGGAGTGGGGTACACATTGTTTAGGATTGCTTCTCACAAGAAATCGAACAAGCCTTCTATACAGATCTATGCAGTGAATCCTTGTAATCTTGCTGAAGTCAGAGTGTAACCCGATCAAGAATCGGTCATACTGCAAGGAGCTTATCAGCTGACCTGATAATTCACAAAGACAAGAAAAAAACATACTCCCTTTGCGGAGCGCTTCATGAAGTTCACGAGGATTTTGAAAGATCGTGTTGATTTAGTCACGTGGATTTTTTCCGCTTTAACCCTCGCGTTGTTATCAAGTCGCTGGTTAATTTTCACGATCTCTGTTCATGATTCCATTATTTTCGCCCCATAATAATTCTCGATACTCTCCGGTCATTTTTAACAACTAGGGAACAATTACTTTAAATTTAACACACTTTTACAAAGTTATCCAAGACACAGTAGTCAGTAGTCGAAATGGTGAGGTTACCCGCGCTTAGGGAGGATTCTATTTACAATGTTTATTGAAACGAAATGACAGCCGAAATGGCACTTTGGAATCGACACCCTAGCGGTCAACGACGAGTCATTTATTTCTTTGAAAACCATTAAAGGAGATATAAATTTCTCCGTAGTTAAGCCTTCCTGAGAGTTCAACGAAAGCCACTGAACCTTTTCTACTGACTGCTTTCTCATTGTTCAACTTCTACCTTTCCAACCTATCTTATTGCCTGTTTGCTCATTGTCCAACTTCCACTTTTCTTTTGATGGGTGTGGTTTTAATGACTGCTGTGTGTGTGCGGTTGACTGGTTTGCCCAGTTTTTCTTGAACTTTGTAAAGTCATTCTAGAGGAGATCAACAACTACTATCACGGAAAGCAGCGATGCAGTTACGGCAGCATTGGCCGTTTCCTGTCCTGCTTGAAGTCACGATTGTTCCGCGCGCCACCGCATGGAACCTTGTGGTCCTTTTGGCGGAGAGCGCAGAGGAGACACAAATTCTGGTGCCCTAAAAATGAGTAAACGTACGAAAAAGGTTAAGCTGTGAAGCACATTTAGCTCTTTTCCATTGAATGTGTTACGTTGTACTCGACCTTTACAGGAAAAGAAAAAAAAGACTCATAAAACATACTTTATCACGCAAACTTGATTAAAAATTTGGGTACGTGAAATTCGGTACGAAATCCTTGAATTTGGCATCACATCAAACATCGCACTCACCTAGGTGATGTTTCGGAGTCGTGCTCATCACGTGATCGAGTTTCTTCGTCCTCACTGCTTGATCCCTGTTGACATGCTAATCCGAGTATAAGAGCTGTCAGAGTTAGGGCAAGATCAGACGAACGGGACTGAGTTATCCGGCCGAACCCATTTAACATTCTGGGACTGTAACTCATTATACCTGCAAACAAAACGTACAATCTTTAATGCTTGGTGAAAAATGTTAGAGAATGCTTAAGGAAACCAGAAGATCTCTTTGTTTCTGATTTTTTGGGGGACCTGATCGAGCGCAACGTTCTGTAGCGCTGCATTCGCAAACTTTCCAGTAGAAACATCTCATTAGTTTTTTTTTTTGTTTGTCAATGTGTGCGCATGAGAAAAAAAAAACTGTACACAGTCATGGACCTTCCTAACGAAAACTGTAGCACTGTTTTTTTCATTCCTAATTTTTCGACAGCTTTCTTACTCAGTCACTTCTACAAATCTTTCGGAGTGGCAGGAAAAATAATTGAGTCGGTAAGTTAAGATGGAGAATGGGAAGTAACCGGTTCAAGAGGAAGAGGAAAAAGTTGAAGGAAAGAAAGGCAGAGAAGCCACAAAAAAAGAAGAATTGGGATCACTCCAACCTGATCTGTTAAATTGTGAGCTCCGTGAGCTCGTGCCGTCCACAACGCTTGCTCCCAATGACACTAACGACGATGAATAATCCCCTCTCTGTTCTTGCTCGTTATTGCGTCCAAATATTGAAATCTTTTGTTCAGCTGTATAACAAAATAGAAGAACAAGAAGTTGCTGCGATCATTAATCATGAAACGAAATTCAAATTCGATGACCCTTTACTTCAATACGACATTTGTCTATTAGATATTTGAAGAATCTCTGAAATTTCTACATAATACAGCGTACAATAATAAGCACCAAAACATTGACTCTAGTTGCTTAAAATTACCTAACAGATTGTGCGTCCATTATAAACCCTGGTCCTTGTAATAACGAGAAAGTGCTATAGAATTATCAACTCATGTACTTGCCGTGGCACGAAGTAGCCGGTGAACCTACCTGTCTCAGCGGTTTCAGTTTCTTCTTCGTCGGTTATAAAACTGAACATCTTCTGAATTTGAGCCGCTGCATCTTCTTGAGCCTTTAATTGAAACAGAAGCACTTAGGAAGGTCACCGTGAAAATCTCCTACAGCGTTTAGAAAATCGCGTTCAAGTTGGACGCGATGTATGTAGAAAAGTGTCTGGCTGACCTGACCAAATACAGAGTCGCTGTGGTAAAGTGCTTAAAGTAGGATTCAACTTCGCGGCAACAAGAATTTTTTATCAACATCGCTTCTACTTAGAAAAGTAGAGTCCAAATTAGTTTTATACGACACCAGGGCCAACGTAATTGTGGGATTACTCCTTAATCGCCTAAACTAAATAACAAAGCTCGTAAAATATGCCACTAAGATTAGACTCTGGCCGGCTCCCGGTAAATACCTCTTCTCATTAAAGCAGATACACATATTGGTCTGCGGTCTACCCATTGTCGGCTCCAGAACAACACCTTGACTTCACATACAACCACGAGATGTGATTTGCAAACCCCCCC